ACCCCGCAGAGTCCAGTGTTCGGTCGCTTGTTGCTCATCACAGAAAATTGCCAAGCATTTTGTAGAATACCATTCGGCATTGATGCTGCTCTTATTTCGTAATGGAATTACTACCAGATTCAAAATCAAAATGAATAGACTTGTGATTAAAGTTTTCCCTCTGCCTCTCGTTCGTCACTTATCACTCTCTCATTACTTTTGTTGGCGTTGGTTCGTCTTGAAACAGCCAAAGTGTCGGCTGAATCATTGTTTCTGGATCGTATTGCTAATCCAGGATTCGTCACCTGTCATAATATCGTAAACGAGCCAAGACAAGCCTGCTTTAAATTTATTAATCATGTCATGCCTGTTTCTTAGCTTCGGTAAGGTTGTGCAGCACACAGCTCGTAACTATCCTCCAAACGCGAAGTTGTTTATGTATAATCTTGTGAATGCTTCCCGAACCAACCTGCGATGTATGCTGACTAGTCCATTAATATGTTACATGAGCTTTGCATTTTTTAGAGGACGTAATTTTATTTTTGGGACATTTGTAGACAATAGAAGCTTAACCTCAAGTTTGTGGGGTCGCCACCTTTGGCCCCCGGCCGCCATCTTGGAAAAAGGGGTGAAAACACTTTTTTCGCGATATCTCGGGAACTATGTGTCTTACAAAAAATACATAATTTGTAGCAAATCGCTTGGCCTACAAATATGTTCATATGACTTTAGCCCTAAATTTAAAAGTAAAGAAGTTATAAGCGAAAAAGTGAGGAAATTTCTATAAAAATTTTCTTTATAGCTCTATAAATTTTTTTAATACATTTTACAAAAAAAATTACCTCAGACTAATTTTGTAGATGATTTTTGGTAAAACTAAGGTAAACAATTTGTTTTGACCGGATTCGCATGAGCATTGACAAACCCGGTCAACTTTGGAGCACTGTAACAACGTTTTAAATGAATGAATTAAAAAAATTATAGGGAAATTTTTTTCCCTAAAAGATAATTTTTATAGATATTTCATCACTTTTTTGCTTACAACTTCTTTACTTTTCAATTTAGGGCATTAAGTCATACGAACATATTTGTAGGCAAAGCGATTTGCTACAAATTATGTCTGTACGAATTATTTGTAAGACACATAGTTTCCGAGATATCGCGAAAAAGGTGTTTGCAGTTGGTTGTTTGCCCTTTTTCCAAGATGGCGGCCGGGGGACAAGGGCGGCCACCCCACAAACTTGACTGTGTGGGGGACACATGTCCTAAAAATAAAATTGCGTCCTCTAAAAATGCAATATTAGGTCTTTAAATTGTAACACTTCAATGAACTAGACACATTCTATGTAATTTGCCCGTTTACTTGAATTGAAATTTGCATTGTCAGCACACTTTCTTCGGTAAAAGCCGTGGAAGGACAACCATTTCTTTGTGCGTGCCCCAAAGATAAACGACCGCGTTAAATATGGCTTTTGGATCTTTAAACTTGTGCGAACGAACAAACGAACAATGTTTTTTTTTTTACTTTTAAATAATTATTTAAAAAAATATTATTAGCTAAACTATCTGAGTCGTCTGGTACAAATCTACCGTAATCATCAGGCCAGGTCTTAGGAAGGTGTAGTGTATGATACACCAAACCCTCACCAGTATCTTTTTTGAGTCAACTTTCGCATGTGACAGGATTTCGTTGGTTCTCTTGGGTTCAACCACTGTCATGAGCGATTTCGAATGTCGTACAGGAACCATTTTTTATCACAAGTAACAATGCGGTTCAAAATTCCCTCATTATTGTGAGGGTTGATTAATGTTACACAGCATTCAACGCGTGTTTGTTGGTGTGTTTCACTCAATTCATGCGATATAATAACTAATCCAATATCTAAATTTTTTCACTTTTCCAATTTAAGTGAATTAAATTTCTAAAACTGCAATCCGTAGGGGTGCAGATGCTTACTGTCTTTTAATAAAGTGACCTCGGCTATACCCTCCGTATCCCTCTCACCATACGAATCGCAGAAATATGACACTTCACTTTACGCCGGTCGGATCTAACCATTCATGCAACAGCGAAGATTGTTGCATGATCTTACCATTAGGAGCTTGGCCCTACCATTAGGACGTGGCCCTACCATTAGGACGTGGTCCTACCATTAGGACGTGGCCCTACCATTAGGACGAGGCCCTACCATGAGGACGTGGCCCTACCATTAGAACGAGGCCCTACCATGAGGACGTGGCCCTACCATTAGGACGAGGCCCTACCATTAGGGTAAAATAGGTATCTTATTTTGAGGATTAATGATTTTTTCGATTATTCTATACCTTTTATATAAACAACTATTTGATTAAACTAAATCAATAGACGGAATTATCATATACTAGCTGCTGCCCGCGACTACGTCTGCGTAGAATAGGCTGAAGGCGTAACATTCAGACAGAAAGACATTTATACATAAAATATGTATATAAATTACAGCCTGTCTTATTCTGATGTATAAGCTATATTATTGTAAAGTTTCATTAAATTCAGTAGTATTTGTGTGAAAGAGTAACAATCATCCATCCATACATACAAACTTTCGCCTTTATAATATTAGTAAGGAAGTAAGGATTCCTTATAAGAAATTGTTATACGAAAGATTTATTTATGAAAACATTTACTGCATTCTACCTGTCTATTTTTGGCAATAGTGGCAAACATGATATTGAAAATGGTGTTTGAATCATTAATTATTAATTTCAAGAACAATTATGGAAATTATGACGTATCGACAATACAGGACTTTGAGAAATAATATGACTCCGTGGCACAGTTGTCAAGGTATTGGCTTCAGCGCCGGGAGTCGTGGGTTCGGGATTTCTACACGGGATAAGCATTTGTGCGACCCACAGATAATTGTTTCGGATGTGAGTGTCCACAAGAAATTTATGTTTATAAAACGCTCTTTCAGCACAGGATAAGGTTATCTATGATACAGTAAGGGCAACAGTTTATTTAGAAAAAAAGAAGAATATAATTTATATAGAGATTATTTTGTTCAAGAATTTTTATTACAAGGTTAGTTTTTGATAAATCTTTTATTAAATACTACAACGAATACCAAGAATTGATGAAATCTATACTGTTAAAAACATTTCGCTAACTCTATCCCAATAGAATATTCCGTTTTTATTAAATAACTATTTTCATCCATCGACGGATGAATGCAACGGATTTCATCGAGAGATAATGGAACGACTGCGATTTATTTTGCGATTCGCCCCCAAGTAATTAAGTTCATACTTTTTTTTGCAACGAGATCGATTCGCTTTCATTAGTGCTTTACCGTTAAGCTTCAATTAATGCTCGTCTCATATTTACTTATAAAAGTGTTGTCAACAAGTCTGTTTTGTCTGTAATGGAATTGTAATTTTTTTGAAAAAATAAAGTTTGTTTATATTTCAATAAACGATTATACTACCGAGTTTCACTTTTACTCCCGTGTAAATTTGGGTACCTTTAAAAAAATCTCCCTGTATTTAAAAATGTATCTGATGCATAAAGCGTTAGTATGATATAATTATTATAATCAAATTTCTATGCACCCAACATATTAATAAAGCGCTCACAAGTCCCAGGAAGTTTGTTTACTTCATGTTTTTGTAATTCTAAATACCTCAAGAGATTGAAGTAAACCGAGATTTTTGTGTGTGCATGACCAACGCTACAGCTCATACAGGGAGATTTTTTGAGAAGTGCCCAAATTTACACAGGAGGTTCAGAGTCGGTAGTATAATCGTTTATTGAAATAAAAAACAGTTTCTTTAAAAAAAATGCCATTCTATTCCCTAAAAAACAGAACGTGTTGACAATGCGATAGTCATTCATAAATAACTAAATTTTACTATGCACGAACTTGTGTGCGTGTTAGTTATGAATGATCGCGCGTAAAATAATGAGTTGCGTATAAATCATGCACTTTTTGAGATAAGTTCAATTGAATGTAATTAATTACTTACGAGTGATTTAAAATATATATCATTTTTATAATTCACTATTTATGTCTAGAATTTAATTTAAAAAATGGATACACTTAGAAAAGCCTCCCTGTATATGTATATACATATAAAAATATAATATAAAGTTTTTTATAAATAATTGCATTAATTAATATTGAATTCAATCTACAATCCTTTAGTTGTTAAATTTTGCCAATATTTTACTTCTTAAGGTTTTGTACGTTATTATATAATCTTCAATTCATTACCAACATCTTATTATATTATTACAACAAATTATTTCTTAGTGGTGTTTTTTGTCGGTACACCATCCATAGCTTCATAATTCGTCATCAAATTCTAATATATCTATCTCAGGTTTATGCACAAAATTAACTGTAAAAGTGAATTCTGTTGAAACGAACTACGAATAATAGGTGTACAAATATAACATGGCAAGGTAGGTTTATTAAATCGCTTTCGATCCTGCGCACTGAGGAATTAATACTGTCCGTCCCTAGATAACCTAAATGGGAGCCCTCTAGGCGGCCGAACCCCCTTCCCCCCTCTTCGTACTTTATATACCCGCGCATACCCTGGGGGTGCTCAGTTCGAAATCGTCCCGGCTGCGAATGGGTTGCCTCTTTCGCACTGGCCTAGCTCGCAAATAATATTCACCCGCGCGATAAACGTTCAGGTTCGCATGCATTAGTTCAACTTAATTTTTAGTGAATTGAAAAACTTTAATTTTTTAAATTAAGAAAGAAAATCTAGTTTATCGTAGTTTATACTTAATAAATTATTAAAGGACAAAAATATTATGAAAGAATTATTTACGTATGCATTAAGTGCCGGTGTTTTCTTTGTTACTAAGGATGTAAAATCTAATGTATTTTATTGCTATTTTATATATGTAACTCAATGTAATTAAAATAAATCGATACCTCGATTGAATTAAATTTGTATTTTCTTCGAGATATCCAAAATATTTCGATTTTTTTTAATGTGAAAAGTTTCCAAACGAGCAGACGGTTCACCTGATGGTAAGTGAATACCGTCGCCCATGGACATCTGCTACACCCGACGGTTACAGATGAGTTAACAACCTTTTGAAAATTGGGCTGCGGCTACCTCACTCACCGGACGAAACGCGAAAGTATTTGTCATACTTCCACTGTACGCAGGTCTTCTGTGAGGTCGTGATACTTAGCCGGACGGGCCTACCACAGTACACCGATCCGTTAAAAACAACAATATCAGAAGACTCTGTCAACCAGTCTTCTGATATTGTTATGTGTACGGTACTTGTTGATTTTTTTAGAAAGTGTTTACATCTTTTCATGAAATATAATAATAATTATAATGTTAGTTGTATAGTTTAATATATGTAATATATAGGTATATCTATGTTTATTTTAAACCCAACCAGACTAGAAAACAAATAAATATCCCTAATGTTAGTAATCATTACAAAGTGTGCGATGTTTCCGAAAACTCCTCCAGCTACTAACTTTAATATTTTCTTGTCGAACTGAACTTTGATATACGACGGGTAACATCATTTTATTGTTTTCAGGTCTTCTTGATTCATATGAGCCAAGTGCCCCATCAAGCTGGCTGTGATTACGCACTGCCGCTCTAAAACAATTGGTAGTGGTTATTTGCGTATTGGTCACAGCGAGGAGAAGGCGCCACGTGTGGGCCTGTGTTCACCGGGGGGCGGGCGCTTTGCGCCGCCCCACAAATTAATAGGTAAGCGCTTATTTAGAAGAAGACAACACCGTTGGCGTGGTGATTAGTCTGCATTTTTTCATTTTGCTGTGCGTTGATTATGCGGACGCAATGTTGCAGATTCACGGCACATGATTCTTACTCTTAAAGAACGTAAATATCATACTAAAGATTTGGATAAATAAATACCTTGTTTTTAATGAGGAAATGAGCCCCTTTACCTTTTTTCTTTGATATGGAATTGCGAACGCTTTTATATGGTGCGCTAAGCTACTGAAAAAAAATTCTGAAAATAAAACACTTCGTCTTAATTTGTGTATTTTTGTTAAACCGTGTTTATATTTTTTTTTATTATTTTCATTGTTCACGTATGATTTTTGCAATGCGAAAATTTATAGTGGCGATAATTATTTAGCACAACAACGTAACGAGCGAAGCGGCTTTACAAAATTAATTTTTCCTGTTGAATTATTTTTAAAGTTTATTTTGGCACCTTGTTACTTAACTTACTTTTATTTTTGTTCATTACTTCCGTTGCGACTTAGGTTTGTAGGAATTAATTATACTACATTTAACAAAAATGTTTTTTAATTTATAATTTATTCGACATGTCATTTTAATGATTATGCTAAACACCGCCGTACAAGGAGAATGATGCGTTATTTAAAATAATTCAATCTTTCATATCTTTTCTTGTCAACTTGTGGTGTCGTCACCAGAAAAGGAAACGAGGAAATGCTGACACAAAAAATTTACTTGACATTTTTGTTATGTGGCAGTAAACTCATTTTGCTTTGCGTTATTTTGTTTATCAAGTTTCTGATTACGAATTTATTATTTTCAAAAATAAACATTATTAAACAATACTGAGAACTTGTGTATTTTCTGAATAGATTAACAAATTTTCAAATGATATTGAGCTATCTATTCCTCCTATTCTCGTTTTCGGCCAGAATAGTACACTAATCCCTTAGGTTATGCACATATACCTGATAAAATTAACTGCTTAAAACAGCGAATTACTGTTTATATAAAGGTCTTCTATGCGATGGAGTAGTAATCCTAGTTTTGATTTCCACTTATTAGAATAGTATGAGGACCATGTGTTGGCCGCATTGCATTCTGTAGCGTCGATATCCGATAACATTAGATTGTTACACAAATGTAGTACACAGGGTTATTAGATCGACCTAACATATATGAAAGGTTGAGAAATAATCGCACCCGTTCCCTCTGCACGTCGCAACTGCCGATTGAATTTGAATGAAATTTAGAATGCGGTCAGCTCACACTCCGCGTTAAAACTAAGATACTTTTTATCGAGCAAGAATCAATTATTTCATTTTGCAAAGTATCACGCGGTCGTAGCCGCGGTTCTAAACTAGTTAAGCCTTCTTATCAGAATTGGTAGCATTTAAATTCTAGTCAATTTCACGTTTTCAGTTCAGTTATTTAGGATAGTATGTTTATAAATGTATGACTTATTGAAGTTTGACCTTTAGCTTAAGATTACAGCTTGTATTACAAAAGCCGCTTTATTATTTGCTGGACTTTAAAATGTATGAAACGGCTTAATTAGTGCTTTTGATAAGATGGTCGGTAACGGGTTGGGAGATTTGTGGGGTGGAAACGGGCGCGCATAGTGGGAGTTTAGCGAGATGGGGGGGGTGACGTTGGGGGTTGGGATGCACCTCCACATGTACACAGTGAGCAAATACTAAAAGGGTTATATGTACGTATTGGTCGAGTTAAATCGATGCAATTTCTGATTGAAGTAGTTCCGACAACCGGGATGAATCTGTTATGCATTTATTGATGTGTAGTCAGATTATATTTTAGCACGTGTATGCGTTCTTGGGGTGCGATCTGCACAATATCAATTTTAAAGATTTTAAATTAATTATTGTGTTAGCAGATTTTTAGTTCCAATATATATCTTAAGCGTAGTATAAATGTTTGACACAACTTTACTATGGATTCAGTTTTACCTCCCAAACATATGAACTTAAAAACAAAATTAGAATAGCATAATAGTTAATTCAAATGTTTTGTCTCATATTTATCGTATTTCTGTAACAGAGAATGTTTATGCGCTGACTTAGTTTAGTCTTTTATGTGCAAATATTGCGGTTTCTAATTCTGCTGTTGTTTTATACTTCTAAAATAATTTTTATTCAATCGTTACGTCTCTGCCAAAATATGCTACTCCTCTCTTTTATACGCGAATATATCCGTTAATTATTGTTTGTTTTGCGAAAGCGAAGAGAAACTGATTAATCCTTTTTGATCCAGATCCCCACCAGATGGTTTATTGACATCGGGCTATACTAAGCACGATGTAGACTTGGATCCGGTCATCATCCTGCCAGATCCACTCGCATCGCGTGCTTGTACCGATGACATATTTTCTCAATTACATCCACTTCTGCTAGTCTCGTAAGTATCTAAAAAATAAAAATAGAAAATAGTTCGCCTATTTTATTAAGTAATTTTAAACCGTCAATATTTTAAAGACTTACTACTTTGCTCTTATCCTAAATACCGGGAGGCTTTTCTAAGTGTATCCATTTTTTTTTTATTAAAGTCTAGACATAAATAATGTTATATAAAAAATTTGAAATTCTGTGTTGAAATTTTTACGTAGAGAAATGTATTTATTGACTAACATACAACACAGTAGTCTCATAAAAAATCATCAATTGTGTTGTATGTGAACCGCATATTCTTTTTGATAAATTACCTTAATGTACCTACCGTTGGCTATGGCATTCTATTAATGATTTTGGTTTAATATTAGATTTTGCTTTTAATGAAAAATTTAATTTACCTAAATCGACTGCTATAATTTAAACACTCATTTTGCCTCCATACAATTAATTTAGCTGGGAATTGTTAATGTTCGTATTGTTTGTATTTTGAAATATTGCGTTACGCGTTTTTTGTGCTTTGCAGTTCGGACCTAAGGTAAGTCGTCGGGTTATAAACTAATCGTGCCTGTATGTCATGTTTATATATCTATCGTCTTAATATAATCAAATGATTAAATTACAATGTGAAAGAAATTTTAATGGATTTATATATAAAATATCTTTCAAGTTGATTAATAGGTTAAAATACGGTGTTGTAAGTATTACAGTATTCTTGTATGTCTCCAAGATAAGGTTTAGCTTGAAAAGATTCTTTACATACATACAAGCCTTTGTAAGGATGTATTGGCTTAAATACGCATTTCCAATTCGGGTTGGTATATTTCACATAATTTGTAAATATTTCTGACATATCCAGGTTTTCATACGAAGTTTTCCAAAACTGCCAAGTACGTGGTAAATATAAATAAATTGTATTAAATTATTAAGTTTCTGCCGTCACCTGATTCGAACTGTCCTTGTTGGAGGATAAAGAATAAAGCTGTTCACTGACACTACAATTACTTTGACGTGTACTGGACGCCAAAGACTTATGATGACTCCGTAGCGCAGTTGCGACAAGGGTCGTGGGTTCGATTCCCACACGGGACAAATATTTGTGTGATCCACAAATAGTTGTATCGCATCTGGGTGTTTGTCCACGTGAACTCCTCGTAATTTTTATCAACTGTTTTAAACATTAAGTTGGTTGTGTCGGGAGGAACAATTCAATCACACATTATTTTGTTACATTAAAATTTTAATTGACCGTTGCGTAATGGAAGCGAAGAATTGTTGCACTTCATCGAACAAAATGCGTAAGCGATGCATAAAACAAGGCCTTTAAGGTGCGTATGCAATGAATTTTTAACTATTTCGGTGGTAAAGCAAGCGCTTAGCGGGGCGCAGCGCGCGAGTTTACTCGACCCGCCGCGTGACCTAGTCATTCATAACGTAGTGTGTGTGTAGTGGTGGGCCGTAGGATACTATCGATAGTATCATGGAAGGCTTTCGAAAATGTACACAGATGATCCCTAAAATAAATTTATTGACCATGATTGTATTTTACTTTTATATTAGTACCCGGAGGACCGAGCTTTGCTCGGTTTGTTTTTTTTTTTGGTAAATCTTGTATTTTGGAAATTATATTTAGATACAAATTACTGAGTAATGAAATATGCATAATATTTTTCGATCTTACCGACGTAATAATAAGAAAATATGAACTGATGTTTTTTACAAAAGAAAGAACTTTAAAAAAAAGGGAAAAAAATAATAAAATAACAAATCGACAAAAAATTAAAAATAAAGAAAGCAATCTGGAATCGAAAAAATAGTAAAAAAAAATATGTGTAAATGATCGTGACGCGAACCACGGCCGTCTGTTTTGGGGCCGCCCGATTACCGACCGAGCTATCATGACATTTTCATTTGCTAATTTACCGTCATATTCGAATTATAATTTTCATTCCCTGAAAAAAGGGATAAAAGGACATTTTCTAAAAATGAAACCTAGCTAGATCGATTTTTCGCCCTCGAATCTACGCACATACTAAATTTCATGAAAATCGCTGAAGCCGTTTCCGAGATTCCGATATTATATAGATATATATATAAAAGAATTGCTCGTTTAAAGGATAAGAGATTATATATAGGAATAATAATAAACAAACAAATATAAAGTACTAGCTGCTGCCCGCGACTACGTCTGCATAGAATAGGCTGAAGGCGTAACATTCAGAAAGATATACATAAAACATGCATATAAATTATAGCCTATGTCTTATTCTGATGTGTAAGCTATATTATTGTAAAGTTTCGTTAAAATCATTCAGTAGTATTTGCGTGAAAGAGTAACAAACATCCATCCATACACCTTTATAATATTAGTAAGGATGAGAAAACAATTAAAAATTTTAGAAAATCTTCTATTTTAAATTATCAGGAAACCGATTAGAATTGATTAAAATACATCTTAAGGTCAAATAAATTAATAAAGGGGAATGACATTTCTTACAACAACTTATTTATTTATTTATTTTAATTTAAAGTAATAGCTCATAAAAATTTAAAGCAATTTCATAGTCTCTACGGTAGAAATTACGAACACGACTTTTTTATTGCATATTTTCTTTATACATAAATTTTTAATTTATCCTTTAAATGTTAAATGTAAGTCAAAAAGTAAAAAATTATCGATAAAATTCCTTAAATCTTATCGATAATCCTTCCTATCGATAAACGACAACAATTATAACTAGAATCGATTTTTTTTCATCTTCCATAGACAACTTGTAGCCTATTGGTACGAGCGTCATGGTAGGTATACAATTACTGTGTTAATCCCAAGTTCAAACCTTATTGAGTGTTACATCTTTTTCCACTTTTAATTTGTTAATAAATTAATTATTTTGATTTTATTTTATAAAATGTGCGAAATAAACAAATTAATGAAAATATATAAACAATTATTTTTCGTATTCGTAAAAGATTAATTTTCGCTTAAGAGTGAAAAATTAAATATTTCAATAAAAAATACATTAAAAACAAAATACAATATAAGACTTGTAAAAAAATTTAGGGATTTGAACCCAATCCACAAAGAATTATTATTATTATATTATATTATTATTATATTACACAGTGTATAGGACTGACCTGTTTTATTGTTTGATTGGTCATATCAATCATAAGATAAAACATTTAAATTACGCTTTAGTTTATATGTATTAAATATAAATAATTCCTAAATACGAAATATGTGAATATAATTTTCAGGTTCGTGTTTTATTATTAGTAACGTAGGACAAAAGTATTGTGATAGATTAGTATGTTTTTTGTCCAAATAAAACAATGTCCTACAAAAAACAGGTATGTATTAGCTATTGTCATTTTCCTTTCCCTATTTGTAACACAGCATAAAGTGACAACATATATTTTGTTATTTTGCAATGTTCATAAAAAATGTGGCATTTTTATATAAACAATAAACAATAACCGAACTCTCCGACTTTTATTGGAGAAAACTGGAAACACGCCGAAAATTTTATTATTGAATTTAATATATTTATAATACCATCCAAATTTTTGAGGAAAATATGTTAAATATTTCTGTAATTGTTATCTTAAGAATATAACAAAACTTTCATAATAGTACTACTCCATTTTTTTACATAATTACGTGAAAATATAAACTATAAAATTATTTTTTATTTATTTTAAGAATAAAGTGAAAACATATTCGATGGACTTACGTTTCATAAGACAAATATTTAGATTTTACTCTAAATTCCTTTTAATATGACGAATAATAAATTATCACTTCCTCATTCCAACTTGCACGTAGTAGACCATCACAATATTTGTGTTGAAGATGCTTTCGGGCAGATATCAAATATCTCTTTTATTTTTTTTTATTTTTTCGAAAATTAGTATTTTCACATAACAAATTACTCAAAAACACTCCATTATTGTTTTGCAGCACAAAACACTATTGAAGTTATTTTTCGAAGGACAACACGAGTTTGACTGAAAACTACTTTACTTATAGAGTTTATATATAGAGTAAACAATGAGGTGCGCATGCGTAATAGTGTGACATAGCATCAATAGCGAAATGTAGAAAATAATTTTATTTTTAATTTTAACGTGAATTTCAAATATGGAGCTGGAGGACCGGGATAACGTACCACATAATTTGTAGTACAATGTGGGTGTTCAATTATATAAATATTAACTAACCAATAAAAAACTCAGCTAGTTATTAATTACTTTTCATCACCTTGTTAATTAAACACGTTGGAGAGAGGGGACGCTTGATAAAACTTTGAATTTTGTAGGACATCTTGGGAATTAATAAAGAAAAATTCAGTTAGAAATCAATTTTTGAAATTCGGTAAATCAATATATTCCACCTCTGCTAACTCTGTTAGCTACCGTTTACCAAAACTGTTGTAAGGAAAAAGTTGGGCTCCTCGTCAAAATGAAGCTGCTCACAAAAAATCTGCTTTTTAGTAATAAAAGGTGAAAATGGGCCTGGGATCCCCGACTAAATGTATATCGGTATCGCCTGGTGTGTCTCTTTCACTTGATTAGATAATTGTTTATAATATTAAGTACGGATTTACAAGTGAATGTTATTATACATGCATAATAAATCATAAAATCTTAATGAAATTAATATCAGTGGTGTAGAATATTTTAATATATAACCAGGACTGTTGTCTTAATCTGTGGATTGAAGTAAGATATTTGTAAATATAAATTTACTTTATTAAAACTAACTTTAACGCGACGACCAAAACACAGCGCCACCGCGGCGTTTTTCGGTTCTCTTTCATTTCCGCACTTTCAACTAGGGATGGGTTATGCTTGCTAAATCGCGTACCAGGTCTTAAAAGTACGTACACCTTCTCATACCAGTCCAACGCAACGAGTCAAAGACTTCAAGTTTAAATATTGGTGCTATACAAATAAGATTCAAAATATTCCAATCAAGACGTAAAATACTTTGAAATTATTTTATTTCTTTATTGAAAATCTCCAAGAAATCTTAATGTACAAATTGTTAATTATTTTTATTTTTATATTTGCATGCTTCGTATTGTCTCGATAAGGCATGCTGTTCTATATCTATTATTTTCTGCACTCGCTTTTGGCCCGCGGCTCCGCCTTAAAAAGTTATCCCCGTGCTTAAAAAGTACCTACGGAAAGTACAAAAAAGTAACCTTCGTGCGCGAATCCGACTGGTATAATTATAAATATTAACTTTGTATAAAATTAAAATCATCATTTTACAGACCCGCTGTCTGCCTGCTGTTCCTAAGTATGCTTAGATCTTTAAAACTACGCAACGGATTTTGATGCGGTTTTTTTTCTAGATAGAGTGATTCAAGAGGAAGTTTTATATGTATAATACATTACACCCGTGCAAAGCCGGGGCGGGCCGCTAGTAAAATATAGTTAACTATAGTTTCATTCAATTCAACTGTATGCTATTATATAGCATTTTATCGCACAGTTTTTAAACACAGATTTAGCTAAAACTAACACTAAATGTTAATTGAAGCTTACTACAATGCTTGAATGAAAGTTACACTCAAATAGGTCATCTATTAATTAATAACTAGATGTATATTTTGCCCCTACTTTTCCATTAAATGTTTACTTCGACGTAATCTGTAGCTAAGTTTTTTGTTACCATATTAACATTTGGACACTTATACTCTGTTAACGTATTTATTATAGTACTGATCCAAACTGTGAGTTCTAATTTATTACTTTACCGCATAAATCGTTTTCAATTTCATCGGGCGTAAACATAGATCATATTCAAAGCCTCCGCCAGACGCGAACGAACCAAAGCGTCACACTGATATGCCACTTTACTGACGATCTCCTAGACTTAGGCGAAGGCGAAAGTGAAAATGGGAAGGCTCCCGGTATAAATGGAGTTACTTCCGATCTTCTCATAGCTTGTAGAAGCCCACTGTTGAGAAAGCTAAAGGAGTTATTTATTTCCGTCATAGCCAATGGGACTGTCCCGATGGTGTTGAGTGAGATCGTGCCTTTGTTCTTAAAAGTTCTACAAGAGGCCATTACCCTCTTGTAGAGCTATTAACCAATCGCGCCCTTAAGCCATGTCTATAAGCTGTTCTTGAGAATCATCACAAACCGTCTCGCCGCAAAATTTGACGCTGCTTTTCAGCCATGAGCAGGCTGGGTTACGAAAAGGCTTTACCATGTACCGTGGACCACATTCACACAGTGAGGCAGGTTATACAGCGTTATCAAAATCGCATTTCTGTATTGCGATTTTGATATCTTTCGAATCCATCGAAAGCTCGGGTGATCTGGAATCCTCGCAACGATGCCAAGTCAACTGGCGGTACATCCGATAACCGGAGGTATGGCGACGATATTCGTCGTAAAGGCAAAACATTGACTGGCCCGGCTCACGTACTACCGATCATGCGGGAGGTCTGTACATGACTTTACCATAGCGAATGATTTGACACAGCTGATCACTATGCCTACGTGGATCTCAGCGTAGGCATATGAGAGATGCGGTTCTTCTTTGCATCTTATCAGTGGGGAAGGTTCGTTTCCTACTAGACGATCCCAGTGCCATGGAACTTTTCCTTCACTCATTCCATTCTTTGCGGTCCCCATTGGAGGTAGAATTGGACTTAAAAAAGAAGTACAACTTTGGTCTTTCAAAGTCCTTCAAAAGACCCATGACATCAGCATGGTCAACTTCTGTACGTCAACTTTTCCATGTCTTTACAAGGGAAATAACTCGTTGGCCCACACTGCTGAAGAGAAAGCCGGACCTCTCTAAAGCCTGAAATCTACATTGAAAGATAAGGGGGAACGCACATGAATCAGGTTTCTATAGAGCAGCACAGTGTGTAAAGCATATTTCTTCTTACATATCCAAAAGTCGAATGGTCTTAACGGAACCCCTTCTATTGTGTTTTCCCTCACATTTCTGTGGTCTAAAGTAATGGAGTCCACTATTAGTTAACTGGTACCATTATACTTAGGTATCTTGCTTATTAGCGATCGTCGCTATGGATTCCGTGGGGTTCGCTCCGATGGTGATCTAGTAGTGTACCTAACTTATCGATTGGCGGAGGCAATTTGAACTAAGGGCGTAGCGTAAGTCTTCGATCGGGTACAAAGCACTTATTTTCAAGATCTCTTTTCACTGGCTTCCAGACAAATTGTACAAAATTGTTGTAATTGTTTTCTTAGTCGTCGCAGCATCAAGGTCGTTGTTAACGGTGCTTGCTCTGACCCTAAATTCGTGAACGCTGGTGTCCCACTGGGCTGTGTCCTGTCCTCTTCACTGTTCCTTCTGCATATCATTGATTTGTTTCATCTTCAACGTTCATTCAACCTTCATTGCTATGCAGATGACAATATATACAGTGTGTATTATAGAGTCGAAATAAACTTTTGTCTGAAGTCGAGGTTTTTTTATGCTAAATCTGGATTGGGGCCGACTAAATGGCGTTTAATTTCGCAAAAGAAAAAGCCAAGCTGGCTTCTAAAAAGCTCGGTGTCTAAAATAGATCGAGACGGTATTTTCTGCCGGCCCATTGATCGGCCGACCGATTTGGACCGGACTTTCATTGACAGATAGCACATGGAGTAAGGAATAACTTAGGATAATTTTATTTTAGATTTTTTATTTTTTAAATTCGACGCATCATAAAATTGTGCGAAAAAAACGACATGATGACAAACCATGGCTACCGCCGTTCATCGATATTCCGCCTTAAATAAAAAAATGCAAATTTTAAGTGAATTTGAGTGATTTGAACAAGTTTGAGTTAACAAATCATTCTCCAATTCGACGACAAACTTTACTGCACTCATCTGCACTATACAAAAATATCCATCGGTGAGTTAAACATACGTTCATTTCTCTTCAGATTACGTGAACCCTTCACGTTCAAAACGTTAGCGTGAGCCGCTGGACCATTAGCTGGTTTAAAAAGACTTTCTTAACGTCCGTGCAGTTACAGTTACCCTACGCACTTCATTTAGCTGTTGTTTAATTTATTTTATATACAGTTTTTATAGGGTCCACGCCTTCGCGCACCAATTCCGCAATCTGTGCGAATTGCATGGGCGAAGTATTGATATTAAAAAATAAATAAATAAAAAATAAAATAAAAATGAATTACAGGAAGAAAAATCTTCTTACGATAAAGACCTTAATTATTAAATTAGTAGCGATAATTCCATTTATAGAGATAAAAGAAATAATAAGTCAATTGAAAACATTATTACAACATACGCTCGTCTGCAATTAAAATTCAAAATATTTTTATACAAACTAACGCTTGCTCGTTCTAATGAAACGTCGAATTGTACATAAAAATAATATTTGAGTCTTATACTTAGATTTTCTAGTGTTATCCAGATTTCAAGGATCCTTTCAATCTGCAACAATATTCCCAGCAAATATCAAGTGACACGTTAGAATTATTTTATAACACCATACCAAAATTATATAATTATTAAGTGATAACGAAATAGGTATATGTTTATAATTTTAGAACATTTAACCGATCCAACTGTGTTATTATTTGACATTACGTCCTTTACCCGCTATCTTGTCGTAAAACTAATTATTTAAAAATATAAAAGAATAAATACCTATATACGAATAAATAACATATACATAATGCAAAAGAATATTTCTCGTAATAGTACAAGGGTAAGATTATGGTATGACGATAAGTCAATGGACAAAGAACCTTCATTATACTTTACGTTAAGAAGCATAAAGTAAGAATCGCCTTGCATATATATATTTTTTTCTTTTATAGGATTGAGGGACTACCCACGATGTATAAGGGTGAAGATGAATCATCGTCTGCTTTAAATGGAAGATTGAGACCTCGAAAATCAAATGGCAGCCCCCATAAAAGCAGCCCAAATAAAATCTTGCGGAAATCAGATGGTATAAACACACAAGACAAACCTAAAAGAAACTGCACTCTTTCCAAAGCGTCGCCTGACAAAACGGATGATCTCGTTAACAAGTCTGAAAGTACGATAATTCCGCAACATCTTTGCCCGTTTTGTGACAAAAAATTTGTTTCCAAGCAAACTGCATTAAAGCACGCTCATCGTATTCATATTTCGTCTTCAAAGCAAGATTCGTTTATTGATTGTCTGTTCTGTAATCATGTTGAATCCGAATCGAATAGTATCATTCGCCACATGGTTGACAGTCATCCTAATCAATACTTCGCTTGTCTCGATTGCCATACCCGATTACCATCTACATCTGATTTGGCGGAGCATAAGCTCAATGTCTGCGAAAAGCAAAAGCTTTCGTATCGAAGTAAATTGCGCCAAAAGTCTTCAGATGGTAAAAAAAAATTAAAGTCTCTTAATACCGATGCAAAAGATTCTTTTCGAAGTGAAGACAAGGAATTCCCAGAGGGACACAGTTTCAACGGCATTGTCATTTCGTGTGAGCTTAAGCCAACCCATGTGCACGAGGGAGCCGATATTGAGGATAATATAACAACAAATTTGATTTTGCCATCAGGGAAAGCCATAGGACATAAGGCTATAATAGACAAAAATGCGATTATCGTCTTAGATGATATACAGTGGAATAAACGCATTCCATCCAACTTCTCGTTTCACAATGCAGATACTGATCAATTCCTCTCTAGATTAGGCGTGGTCCACAAATCACCCAGGACTGGAGAGTCTGCTAAGAAGGATTGGCATAAGAATAACGACGATGTACCACAAAAATTTGAAAAATGCTTCGACACTCATTTTTACTCAAAAGTTGCCAGCAACGTTCACGAAAATTTAGCCAAATATCTTGATGGCTCCTTTAATCCTTACACTCCTGATCCTAACACTACGATAAAAACAAGAAAATCTAAAAATTGTGTTGCGATTAATGCTGCAGAAGGGTTTCCGATACTTCTTGCTTGTGAACAGTTTTCACGTGAAGTATTTGATGGCTATATGCCACGAGCCATAGCATCTAAGTATAAATGGAAATGGGATAGCCCTGAAAATGATAGAGGTGTTATCAATTCCGATCAAATAAAACGTGATTCACACATAAACAACTGCATAATAACCTATGTTTCTAACTTAGATATTTGGACTCAGTTAAGTATGAGGCGAAAGTTTGAAGATAAGTTTAAAAGTACTGTAGAAAAAAAAACAGAAAAGCAAAACATTATCGGTAAAGAATTGAAAGAAATACTTGAAAGTAGGGAAATACCGATAACCTCTTACCCAGAATCTTCAAATGAAAAACATGTTAATCCTCCCATTGACTCTCCAACCGGTGACGGTTCTGGTTTCCCTTTCATGCTAGGGCTTACGCCAATTACCCGATCGCATGATGTGCAACCAGCTGTGTTGAGTGGTGAGTGGGTACGACCCCGTTGCTATGTTTGTTGTGCTTGTGGAGCGCAAACCCGTGACCCGCGAGGGCTATCATCGCATATTTCAACGCAACATCCAAATGCGTCTGTCCAACATTATGAAATTGTAGGGGAGTCGTTATTAGACGCTGACATTTTGAAGCATTTGTATGTGCCTCCCAGTCAGACTTTGAATAGGACCCGCCCTCCTAGAGGATTTAGAGATTGCACAAAATGTAAAAAATCTGTCACTTTGGAAGATTTACATCAGCATATGTTGGATTGCGCAGGGGACACTCCAACCGTACGAAGGAAATGTCGATACCGGCCTTTCAACGTTCGAAAACGTCGCCCACGCCTTCCAGATAATAGGATTCGCAAGAAGATGCGTAAAGATATGCGGACTGGACAGGCAAATGACAAAAATCATATAAGACCAAGACCAAAATGCAAATCGGAAGTTGGTGACGGTAAGTTTTAAGATCGAAACGGTTTGTTCACGAAAGGTTGTGTTACATATATTTTTCATATTTTATTAATGTATTCGTCTTTGTTTCAGCTGAAACAATACGCAAGATGTTGGCAGATCTACCAGCTAAGCGCCACAGGGTCGTGGTGAATCCTTTGAATCCATTTCCTCGCAGAAAACATGATCGAAAATGCAACAGCTTAAAAATTAAGAAGCGCTCTGTGGTGGATCGAAATTATATAAATATAAACGAGGGATCTTGCACTACAGGAGGCAACGATATACTTTCTAATTTAAAACCAAATGAATGTGGTTTTAACAACGATGACGATGAAGACGATGATGACGATTTACCGTTAAAGCCCAAGACTAAAACAACTTCAAAAAGTTCTCGGCAAAAGGAAGCTTTAAACCGCAAGGCAACTATGAATCGATCAAAGAGAAAATCTACCAAAGAAGTATATTTGACAATAGAAAATTCCAATAATGAACCTATCGATTATTCAGCCAGTAATCAACCTCTAGAATCGTCAATCGATAATACACCAAATCGAATCAATATCAATAGTGGCGCAAACAATGCCAGAGAACATTCGAATAGTGGAGGATCTAATAACAGAGATAACCAACAGCCAGGAAGCAGTAGGCAAAATGGAAATCCACACGGATCTGGCAACCCACCACAAAATGTACCTCTCAAACATTCAATTGCCAGTTTAACTGCAGATTCTGAAACTCATGACAAATCCGTACAATTTCATCGTCTCTTTCTCGTTCAACAAGAATGTAATAACTTAGGTCAGCGACACCTTCCATCAGACCGCCGTTTATTATTCGAAAATGAAGCTGTCGTCACCAAGCTTGACAAGCCACCTTTACACTTCAATCAAATGAGTGCCGTTGATTTTCAAAAAGATCGAAAAAATAAATTAAATAAACCACGAAAACGATTAAATGAGTGCATTGCAATGTTAAAAAATAAATTGACACCAAGTTCTGAGGGTAATGTTTCTATTCATGTTTCCGTTCAATGTGGTAGCGATGACCCCATTGAACAAGAACCTTTCATGATAGAAGAAAGTGCTAAACCGAATGAAGGCACGGTAACGGATCCAGTGTTATTATCTCCAGTTACAACCCAGGAGATACTACTCATAAAAGCTAGTAATGAACATAATAACTTCAATCAATTAGAAAAAATATCGCACAAAAACAATTTTGAAAATGAAAATTGCTTTCGATTACAACGCATAAGTCATGAAAATCGATTGAACCATGAAAATAAGACAATTAAGATCACACAAAAAGATGACATAAAAAATTTAGAAACTGTAGACTTAGCAAAGGTTAAAACACCGGAAATTGATAATTCACAAAATGATATAACACCGTTACCACTACCAAGAAATACAGTTATAAGAAAATCGCCTAAGATGTCAGTGAATGTAACAAACTCTCAAGAAGACGCAAGAATGCAACTAAAATCTATTTCTAAAGTGATAGAATCTATAAGCACTGACTGTACAACTGAAAATATAAACAATAATACAAAACAAAATGATTTACCTTCAACTCCACCAATCGTTCCAGAACCACATATTGCAAAATCAAATCAGGAAGATAAAATTGGACAGAGGTAATAAATCCTATCCATCCACAGTAAACACGAAGATAAACACAGCTAAAACAATAAGTCTTTATCATAGTCCAGATGAATTATTGACAGAAAAAAATATTGAAATTTCTCCTAAAAGGAATGTGAAATATTCTTCGGGTGAATTTCATAACATCCTTCATACAATACCTCCAGCCCATGCAAGTACAAACGTTGAGTCGATTATATTAACTCCTTTAGATTTGTCAGGAAAAAAATCTCATACATCAGAGAGTTCCTCGAACGAAGATAATACTTTTGTGAGCAGTCGTGATAGCTACGAAACTTTAGATCTTTCTAATAAGAATTTGAGTATTGAGCAGTCTCATAAAATACATGGTGAAATCCCGACTGATGTTGTAGTGGATTTAAGTATTAAATCCGCTCAATCGGCGTCTGCAAATATCTTACAAAAAACCACTGTATTGGAAGATGACATTGAAAGAGATTTATTATATGAAGACATTAATATCAATTTGCCTACTGATTTATCATTAAAGAAGAAAAATGATGTCATTACACCCGTTAACTTAATTACCCAGAATTGTGACGACGCGGTTGAGTTTGTTCAAGATTTATCACGTCACAAAAATGAACGAAGAGAAGTAGCTAAAGAAAACTCATTGGAAATTGAGTACGGTGTCAAAGAATTACCAACTGATTTGTCAAGTGACAGAATAGAAGATAATAATTTGATAATAGAAATTATCGATATTGATTCCAATAGTGTAACCAGTGGTCAAGATTTAAATAACGAATCAGCTCATGTCGATATTACGGCACATTCAATTTACGAAAAAACAGGAGTTCAAGTGACACGAGACCTAGCGGAACCTCTGTTTAAGAGTAGCAATGATCATGTAAATATGGAAATACAGGAAAACAAATCAACTTTCACATTAGATTCAACAGATAATGATAATTCTTCTCATTTGAATATATCTCCACGTGTTACCAATCGTTTACAGTTAAACGAAACTGTAGATATTCAGAAATCAAGAAAAGTTGAATTCGAGAGGCGTACCTCTTTACCAATAGTCCCACAGGAATGTGAAATAGTTAAAAACCAAACTGCTAAACCTTTTATAGAAAATACTATTATAGTACCACAAGAAACAATGCATTATGAAGTTGAAAATTCTACATTAAGCGTAGCTAATGCTAATAGCTCTTCGTTACCTATTTACTCCAAAAGTCACAAGGTAACAACAGAAGGCCCAAGTAGTAAATATGAATTGGACACTACAGTAGACGCATTGGCCAATGTTTGTGTGTCAGATGCAAAACCAGATACATCAAGATCACCCTCTTTAGGAAACAGTTTGCCCAACATTCCTTCAGCAGCATTATCTAGTACAGCATCTATCAATACTTTAGTAAGTACTTCTGTGGGAGCGACGGACAACTTCATTGATTTGTCTTCTGAAACGGAAAGTCTTAAAACACAAAATTACGTCAACATACGAAATATGCCAAGTGAACATTATGATCTGACTAAAGAAGAAACAATGAATTGTGATTTAGAACAAGATACTGAGACTGCTCGAAAAATTGCGATGTTACCTAAAGAGCTTGTAAAAATTTTAGGTACAATGCCAGTGGATCATCGAAAGCAGTTATTAGATATCTTACCTCAATATGTTTCAAATTCCACCTGTAATGGATCAGGAGTAGGCCAGAAGAGTAATATATCCACCACAATATCATCATCGCCAGAAAAGCAGCAAGCTATCACGACGGTAGATAGTTATGGCGAAGATTTGCCGCATGAAGATATCACCCAATGTAATGTGAACTCTAATTATAAAACTGGTTATCACACATCTGTGTGTGTAACGCTAGCAACATCTTCAAAAGTTTTGCAAGATTCTATTCCCCGATCAGTTATTCTCAAAGCTCCTGTCACTTCTAATGATATTCATCAACCCAATAAACATTTTCAGTGTGAAGATTCTTTAAAAAATACATTAGAAGTAAACCGCACTGTATCTGTTTTGAATTGCCCATCTAAAGTAAATACTTTTGAAGAGGCCCAAAATATGATCATAGATTTGACTGGCGATGAAAATATTCAAGAAATTCATGACAGCGAGCAGGTATTTCGAAATAATTTACCTGTTGCAATAGTTTCAAATAATAATCTAACGTTACAATCTGTGTCTGAACCGCAACCACAAAAGGGTAGTGGAGATCAAACAGCAAGTTTAAGAGCCGTGCGTATTAAAGCCCCATCTGAAAGAAATAAACTGGCTTCATCTGATTATCACAAAGATTCCCATTCTGAAATCAATTTAGCTGAGAATAACAACTATGCAAGTGGACAAATTCTAAATACGACTCAACATAACGATAACCAAGTTAAACTCACTAACGAGATTCGTCACACGACTCCGGATCAAAAATTGGATGTCCCTAAATCTCTTGAAGAGCAATCTAATTCAAGTGAAAAAAAAATATCAGAATCCTCTGTTATATTGACCCCTACTTCACTTGAAAAAACTGTTAGAGTTTCTTTAGGTAAAAAATGTGGAAAACGTATAAACAAAGATATTGAAGGTTTTGCTGTAAACTCTTCACAAAATATAGTAACGAACGATGCTAATAATTTGGAAGTTAACAATACAATTGCTTCAAATACAGTAGTGAAAGCAGATGATAGCAAATTGATTGAATCTGTTCAGTCATCCATTGAAAATTGTTCAAACCACCTTAAAGAAAAGTCTAATAATATAGATGAAGATTCTGAAGATGATATATCACTTGCTGTTATAGTAAAACAAAAACGACGAGAAGAAACTCAATTATCGTGTGATAAAAATACTTTGGTGACAACCAGCAATGTAACCAATGATTGTAAAAAGAAAAAAAAAGAAAAACGGTCTAAAAAAGTTTTATTGCAAGTAAAGAATGATGATGAAGTGATGGCTAGAAACAAAACTAACGATGATAATAATTACGAGTCCTTGGAAAGCGTCCAAAACCTTACTTCAGAGCCCAATAAAACGGAGTATCACTTAGAATTTTCTGACTTAGCCACCGAAGAAAACCGTACTTTCGTCGAGAGTTGTAAAAGAAAGACTAGTAATCGCCATAAAACTGTAACATTAACTGAAGTATGTGGACAGACTAAAACGTTCGATGATCCAGTTTCGCAAGTTAATCAAAAGGGTAATTATGGATTGAAAAGTGATTTGCAAAATGAAAAACTCGAAGACATTGTCACCGCTAAAATTTGTGTACAAGCTAACTTTCATACAGCTTCTGATGCTAAAAGTTCGTCATCAATCGAGTTTCGAGAAGACGCCATAATACAACTACAAAATGACTTAGTCACTGTAGAGGATCAATCAGCTATTCAACAATACGTGACCATGGAAAATCCTGAACGTGAAATTTCAGAGAATAGGCTCCAAGTTTCTAATGAAAAATGTAATACGCCCAAAGAAAATATTAACTTAGAAAATAAAAAGATTCATGAAAAGCTTCAGTCTATAGTACATTATGAAAATGAACATAATTCCAGCTCCACAACCCATCAACTGAATTTGGTGCAATCAAAGCTGTCCCAAGCACTAGATGTATTCCAAATCGATGAAGAAAAGGCTGAAAGTACATTAACTATTGACAAACAGTTGCATCAAAGCACAATTAAAACATCCGATATTGATTTCAAATGTAAAAAATCAAAAAGAGGAAGAAAATATAAAAACAAGTATTCTTCAGACTCTTGTAACTCTCAGTCACCATTGCGACGCAGTCGGCGTGGGAAATCTTTATTTGTGGATAGTGTTTTACTAGATCCGACCATAACAACTGAGAGCGATGCGCCAGTTGATAAAAAAGGTCCACTTACCAAGAAACAACTCATATTTACAAAACTATTACTAGATCGGGAAAATGTTACAAAACGAAAGAAGTCTTCCATTATTGCAAAAAATCCAGTAGTGGTTATAAATACCGTGGACTTGAGTTCTCATATATCATCTACATCGCATACAAATGATACAAACGTTCCAGAACCTTTTATTAATAATTCAAAGCTCTTCAAAATTACCAAGAGAAAGAAATCTCCCCAATCTAAAATAAGAGCTAAAAAACTTAAATCTTCTAATGATACCCTGGATGATGTTTCACAGTCACTTCCTAGTAATAACAATTCCCCAAAAAGCAACAAAAACTGTATTGAAATTGCTAGTGAAGAAAACCCTATTCAAGTGACTAAAACAATGGATAACGTGACAACATCTACGACAGATAAAGCAATAGTTATGAAAACAGACACTGGCGAATTACAAAACAAAAAGTCCCCTAACCTTGAGCAAAGTGATCATATTGATAAAATTACGAAATCAACGCCCATAGAAAAGCGGAAAATGTCATACACCGTCGATGTTGACGTTAATAACAGTTCGACGTCAAAAAAATCCAAATTCGATGATATAATTGTATTTGAAACTAAGAAGAAAGAAGAAGAAAAACAGGACACAAATGAAAGTAGTCGAGTTCGAAATAATAATATTGAGACCCGAAATAAAACATGTTATAATAATAATGTAGCTGGAAGACGAACCCGATCAAAATCTGTTGTAGTAAAGTCTAGTACATCATTATACGATCCTTATGATATCGAGTTAGAAGATATGGTAGATAGTGATGAATCTTACGGTGGATGCCTAAAATCATCAAATAACGCCTTAAACAAATCAAATTTTGTTAGGGATGATGAAACAAAAGAATTGAATAAAAGTGATCCATCCGTTGATGAAAATACAGAGATGACAAACCATAACACAATAACAGTACAAAAATCTAACAAGATTGATTCAAAAGATGACGCAAACGACTCTGATGATTCCGGTAAAAGTGACGTTCCTTTAAAAAAATATGTTGAAGAAAAAGAAAAGAGAAATTTAGTATTAGTTGGTGATAATATCAATCAGAGTAACACAAGCGATCATTCAGGAAGAAAAACTGAAGAAAATCCGTTCGGCCAAAGTAGTAGTCAGCAAGAAAATGAACAGGAACTAAAATCTAAACAGTTTATGGAGAGTTTTGGTTTTTTTTCTGAAAGAAAACCTAGGAAATCAAATTTAATTGCTACCAAAAAAATTTCAGAGACATTCCATGCAAATGAAACAGATGACCCCAACGACGAAGCTGATGAACCAACACCTGCACAGGCGGAAGACGAGAGGAAGCAAGGAGATGACCATGTTCCGAGGGACGCCTCACCATCGCCACCGAAAAAACCCGGAAAACGTGGAAGTAAGAAAATAAATTGTACAAAACCCCTCTTGTTATTGTTGTATTTGTAAAAAAGAATTTAATGGTCCCGATAGTTATTTAAGACACCAGATGACATTATTTCATATTTCAAAATTGTCAGAAGTTGAAATGAAAATTAAAACTACTTCTGTATTGGAAGAACCTAATTATCTTATAGCTTATAAGCAGCAGCTTGATCTCCTCAAAATGCTTACAGATAAGGTGACGAAGAAAAAGAAGACATCAAGGGCAACTTCGAAAATAACAGTACTGGATGAAGTACTGGCCGGCGCTAATAAAACAGTAAGAGAGCAGCAGCTTTCACGGCGAAATCTTAGTCGGGATCAAGCTTTATTCATAGACTGTTGTGAGCTTTTAAAAGAATCACATAAACCGGATCTGTCTACTTCTGAAAATGTAACTATAACTAGTGACGTCAATAGAATCTCTACTACTTCAGAAACTCCAGTTGCAGAAACTAGTGGTACGAGTAACAGCGAAGGAAGAGGTGAGAGAAGAAATGACGGTGATGTGGATTCAATTACTGCAAAAATTATTCTAGAAAGTGAAGAAGTCAGAAATTTAGAAAATGATTTGATATTTGGTTTAAAGGAAGCAGCGGCAAATTCGATATCAAACACAGGTAATGATAATGATCCACAACCCTCAGTAAGTGAGATAAGATCAGATCAAATTAAAGTAGGGAATGCTATAACTAAGACACCTGTACCCAAACCACAATCGGAACAATTACAATTTTCCGAAAAAATAACTGAAGAATTTAGTGTATCAAAACCTAAAAAAAATCAAGAGCCGAAGGATAAATTACACCCAGATGTTATTGAATCCATTGATATATTTGAAGATAAATTTGACAAAATTAAAAGGAAATGCAGATCTCAAGCGGCAGCTGCTAAGCAAGTTAAGCCTGTAGTAGAACCAAGTTTAAGGTAATATATATATTTCGCATTTTTTAGCATAAACTGTAATCATTATTTTATAGCTTCATTTCTAATATTTACTTTCAGGCTTACATAATAATTAAAACCTCTTTGCTTTACTGTTCTAAATTTATGGTAAATAAGAATTACTTAAATGTCTTTCTTGCAGTCAAAGGGGGCGGAAAAAATCCGATAAGAAAAAGGGCAAAAAAAATTCTAAAACTTGCCATTATACTATACCGACGAAAGGGGCATTAAAAGTTTTTGATGGTATTAAAGTATCCATTCCAACATCAGATATTAATATGTCCGGAGTGGTCTATTCGGTTGAAAACGCACCGAAAAAAAGGAAAAGAAATAATACTAAAAAGAAGGGTTCTAAAAATGAAATTGAAATTAAAAATAAGAACAATTCAGATTATAGAATTCAAAGTACACAGACTCAAAATGTTGATGTCTATGAGTTTATGGATAACGATGACGCTGAACTGTTCGAGTTTAGACCTTCAACTCTAATGGAAAGATTTAAAAATATAAATAATAAAGAAATGCCTAGTACTTCAAAATATGTACCATGTACTGATAAAACTGATTTTTCAAGTGAAAGTGGCTCTGACGGGGATGACTTTGTTTACGATGATTATGTGTGTAGCGATGACGAAACTGAAAATAGTTTAATGTCATGTGAGCTAGGAAACGGTAAGATAGGAAATGAAACTAAAAAAAGTAGTTCCTTGTTAAAACGTAAAGATGTTGGTGAAAAAAATGCAGTCATGGGTAAAATATTCAAACATAATGCTCTTCGTTCAGAGAAAAAATTTTGTAAATTGAAAGACCATCCAAAACCAAAAGCAAATCTAGATCAGCTCTTTGACAGTTTACTTGAAGATGAACCTGGTACATTAACATCAAGAGCCAAAACTCCTGAGAAAGATCAACTTGTGTCACCAAAGGAGTATGATTTTAACAAAAACCATGATTCCGCTACACCACAAAATTACGAATGCTCGACATCAAGAAAAACTGAACCTTCAACCCAAAAGAAGCACGAATTTTCAACACCCAGAAAGCATGATTCTGCATCTCCGAAAAAACATGGTTCATCGTCCTCAAAAAAGCTTGACACCGCTTTAAGACAACAAGAGTCAGAAAGGAAACATGACTCGGGATTGTCAAGAAAACATGAAGATGAATCGATCCGAAAACATCATTCTACTTCTTCAAGAAAATATGAATGTCTACTTACAGAAGAACGTGAAGATGATCCAGCAATAGAACATGAATTAATAACTCAAACTAAATATGAGTCTGCGCCTGGTAGGAAGCATGATGCGACATCAAAATATAATTCTGGGAAAGTATATCCACTGTCGTTATCCATGAAAACGAGTTCGGATGTGACTTCTAAAAAATTAGAAACACCGTTTAAAACTCTAATATTTGGTGATAGACCATCAACATCCAGAGAACAAAAACCTACTTCACATAGAGATATCTTTCGGATATCTCCAAAAAAATATGATTCTCCATTATATCGTCCCTCCATTGATGAACCATCAACTTCTAAAATTAACTATGACGGCGATAATTTTTCTAAAAACCATGAATATTCATCTTTCAATGATTACCCGCATACATCAATAACCGATTACAATGATACCCGGAGTAGATCTTCGAGCAATAAATCTGCAACTCCTGAATTAGATAACGCCAACGATTCAGATTGTGGTCCGGATAATGTAGACAATGCAGGATCTGACGATGCCGGAGTTGCCCGACAAAGGGTTCGTCGAAAATGTACAGTTGGGAAACAAAATGTTTTGGCTGAGTCTTGGAGCTCAGAATCAGATGGCTGTCCAGCTCGCCCTAATAGCGCTGAATCCGTGATATCGCCAAACGGTCGAAAGAAGAAATCAAGGAAAAGAGAAGGACAACTATACGCTACTCGTAGGGCCCGCCAGATGCCGATTAAGAGACAAGACGTGGAAGCTAGAGTTGCTATATTTAAACGAAGCAGATCCAGAGCTAGCAGTGGCAGCGGTGAGGTGAGCCGTGCTAGCAGCAGCGGTGTAGGCACAAGCAGCACGGCTAATATGCCGCCCGGTGCCAAACCTTTACGTCGTCCTTCCGGCTCCAAGGCACGCTCGCGCTCCACCGCCTACTTCTGGTCATCAGATGGTGAAGAGGAGCAGGAACATTTGCAGCAGCATGGCTGGATCGTTGGTGATAGTCATAAGAAGTTGGTTACGATGTTGGCGCACGCTAAGGGACGCAAGCGCAACCATGATGACAAGCGACATAATGTCGAGTAAGGCTTAGATTTCTATAACTTTTAATCCTGTAAATATGTTGTAAATAAATACCCTAGTTCTTTGTAAATGTCATTTTCATGACATTTTGACCAGGTACCCTATAAAATAAAATTTTAATTGAGTTGAGTTTTGTAAATACTGTATATCTTTTATAGCATATTTTAGTTAAATTTTAAATGAGTCTGCATGCTGTAAGGACTGGGTTTATTTAATTCATTGTTAAACAGCCCTTACAGTGTAATAGCTGAATTTCTGAGAAAACCTATTTAATTCAAAATTAATTTAAGTCCTCTTTCTACTGAATACTTCATATTTTCTTTTTCATTATAAGGGGTTGGAGCATTTTGGTTGAAATTAACTACATTTTTTTTAATCTTATAGGAAATTAGTAAATTAGTCCTAGTACAGTTTTACTTAAAAATTCAAATATCAAGATTATTATCGCCCGCCGAAAATATGTTTCCAATATTATTATATGATATGAATGTATTAATAATAAACATGTAATATCCAGTCGAAAGCATTTATAACAATTTTAAACGGAATTATATAATGAGATTTTTTGAAGTATGCTGTAATTTATTCCTCAAAGTATTGAAGCTTAGTAGCAATACGAAAGATGTCTTGTAATATTAGTATCTCTCTGTTCTTAATGCCCCTACCCTATGACTGTGAAATCTTTCTGTGAAACTATACTGTTTAATTAAGAGGACTATTTCATATTATGTGTTTAATACATAAATAATATACCTATCTATGTACATTTATATATTGGTTTTCTTGCATAATATATATAAGCCAACACTAATCATATTTACATAAATGTATTTAAATTTAAAATGTTGACTGCAAACAATTGTTTTATCCGTATAGTTATATATATATCCATAGTAATTTGCAGTTAATAAGAGTTTGTTTGAATGTCCGCTAGGGGCTGATAAAGTGGTCTGAGTGAAATGTGTATTTTTGAGTTGAATGATTTGTTAACTATTTTTATACATATTTTGAGTAGTCAATTTTAATGAAATCTCAAGCTTTAGTTATTGTTTTTATCTAGTCCATTAACGGAAAAAAATAAAACCCCATTGTTATCAGCCTCGAAATTATTTGTGATCATTTGTCTAACAATATAAAGAGGAGACTTATTTTACGGTTTTACATACTTTACATATATTGTCTGCATGGCTAAGTTTTAATAAATATATTTTAAAGTATATGAAGGTAATATCAAGGTAATTCTTAAATAAAGCTCAATGTCTTAGTTTCTTTCGATGTAATGAATTCACTTCGTTATATCATGTTAGTATAATAATAATGCCAGATACGAGTGGGTATTTGATCAAGGCAGTGTTCGGTGAGAGTGGTGCTCTGGAAAGGTTCGAATGAATGGAATAAAACTAGGCATTCCTTTAACCAAAAAACTTTATTCGTGTACTGTAATGTTTTATCTAATAACTATTATGTAGTAGTATTCGTGGGTAAGTCTTTGTTGCACAACTGCGTCCTGACAACGATCGCCACTCCAACGATGAAGACAACACAGCACAAGGCAATCACGATGGGTAGCAGGATGCGGACCAGATTCAGAGGCGACAGCATTCTATTCTTCAACTCATCCACGAACTCTTCTGGTAATAGAACACTCTGTAAGCGTAAATATTGGTGTTTTACAACAGCAAATAAATATATTAAAAGTATCACATGGTGTTTTCGTTTTATATTCCTCCTGGTAATAATATTACAAAGAAACAGATTTGAAAACAGCTGGCCGCAGTACCTTTATTGTGGCTACATACAACAAAATAAGGCAATAGTTTACAATAGGCGCGCATATTTTTACAAATAGCGACGAAATTAAGGGTGACCATTTTAACTTCGTAATTATTGTTTTGGTAATGTTTCCCTATCTATTAAAAATATTTGTAAAGGAAAAACTTGCGTACCCTTTTTGTAAATAATTAATTATCCAATTTCTCACTATTGTAAGAAAGATATTTATAAATATGTGAACTAAATACCATTTTTATTAATTTTGCATGGAAATATTTCATTTACTGCAAAAACTTATATGTATTAAATGTTCAATTGCGACAACGAAGACATTGCTCTTAAATAATCATAAGGCACGACGTCATTTCTGTAATTTTAGTCATTTTCTATAAGTAAGGTTTTGGCAATGAATTCATATTTTATACATAGGTAAAGCGTTTCTGATGATGTTATCAACTAAAATTACACTTACCTCCTCAAACCAAACAATAGGTGTTAATGTCATGTTGAGATTGTTTGTCGCCGTGCACCGAAGTTATGGGACGTATGAATATATTGAATTGGGCTCTTTTTGCCCCTCTTAAAACTGTTCCTGTGTTCTGTTGCATCAAAAGTAATGATTATCATACTTTTCGCTACACTAGTTTTTATAAAATTATTATAATTCGTCAGTAAGATAATAATTTTCATTTGAATTCGTGCACCTCGTATTTGTAATTTATTTAATTTCAAACTACCTTCGCGCTTCTTATTAAATAAATAGTGAAATCCTAAATTTAATATCATTTTAATATCTTATTGATATTGTTAAAACACGATTTAGTTTTTTATCTAAGATTCTTATCATCAATATTTGCTAAATTTACGAAAATTGTGCTGATAACGGATAATAAACAACATCAAAATTGTACAAGGGGTAATTAAACTATCAATCTTTCATGAAAAGTTGTGCATATTACTTTCTAAATAGATTAGCTCGACCCAAAGGGCACATAGAATTAAAAATAAACGCTTGTTTAGATATTATTTGGTAAAAGCAAAACATCATATGAGTAAAAAACCACTTCCAAGAAGGATTGATAGTAGAGTGTGGAGGATACAGTATACAGTACATTGCACGCACCAAAAAACTTAAATCGCACTCTTAAATCTTTTTAAAACACAAGTTTGTTAATAAACAATGGATGGAATAAGGGTATGGCAAGAAAAAAAATTATTAGTTGCCTTTTTATACAAAATGTTCACCCAGTCAAAAGTTCTGAGGTAAAAAACATAAAAAAGTACAGTCAAATTGAGAACCTCCTCCTTTTGCAAGTCGGTTAAAAATTCAATCTAAGATATTCTTGTAGTTCATATAAGGGAAAAAAATGAAATTAAATTGAACTATATGTATGCAAAATTGAAAATCCATAACTGAATGTACTGTAAAGACAAAAAGATGATAAATGAGTGAAATTAACAAGATTTCAGTGTTGGTTTAGCTCCAGAACACTTGTTTTGAAAACAAGAATTGTTTTTGAAGCTGTTTACGACACAGGACGGCATAATTTCGCAATTATTATTTAATTTAAAACTACGTCGTGCACTCTCACCCGCTCGTGGCAGACAAGCAGATTGGCGAGCGGCGGTCATCTTATGACCGAATCGTCGTCATATTACGTGCCTCACTTATACTGTGGTGCCACGCAGCAGCCTCGCCTTTTGCACGAATGGGCAGGCCCGTCCGGGTAAGTACCACGACCTCACAGAAGACCAACGTAAGTGGAAGTATGACAAATACTTTCGCGTTTCGTCTGGTGAGTGAGGTAGCCGGAGCCCAATTTTCAATAGGTTGTCAACGTAACTGTAACCCTCGGGTGTAGCAGATGTCCATGGGCGGCGGTATTCACTTAACATCAGGTGACACGTCTGCTCTTTTGGCAACTTTTCGCATAAAAAAAAATATGACCGCAATGTACGCCAGTAACGATTAAAAGATATGTCTGATGCTTACTTTATCTTTTTCATCCTATTATGAATATTATTGACAGGTTTTTGAATCCGATATTGACTATGCGATGATTTTTCAGTAAACGAGTTGTGATAGATTGATCATCAAATTTTGAAATTGAGCAACAAAATTGTTTTTGAAATGTGATACATTAAAGAATGAACTAAACTTCAGAGTTGGTCATGGTTCCTACCTGTGTTGGGTGTTGCTGTCGTTAAGAAGTATCTTAGGTGTCTAAATTGCTAATCACAAGATTGTTAAGTTATAAAGTATAAAGTTAAAGAAATGTAGTAAGTAAATAAAGTTGAACAAAGAATCGTGGCGGTGTACATGTTAAATACAACTTTTACCACTTTCTTTAACTTCAGAAAAAGGAAATAAGATGCCGTTTTAAATTAATGACGATTTTTCTATATCGTTTAAATTTTCTTTATTGCAATATGCGCTCGTCAATGTGCTGAACGTTTACCCTATGATTTTTATTCTATTTATTACGTTTATCTTTACTTACGGGTTCTAAATCAAGAAAAATCCTATGATCATCGATTTTAGGATTCATTCCAACGACACCGTTGACGTAAACTGAGTCGGCGAACAGAAAATGCGGATATGACAAGACGAGCGGTGCACCTGTAATAAAGAGTGAATATTGGTATCATACTTGAACACTTGATATCGGATTATAAATCTCGAATTCGTCCCAGGAATCCTACTCTGTGCAAATGAGTAAGCACTGTATGTTAAAATATACCTATAAAATGGGTTTTAAAGTACGCGTTTTAGGCTTTGAAAAAGCTTACAACGCCTCTTGCTATTCGAACTCAAAGGAAATAGCGACTGGTTGGTAGCGCTTACTATTAGGACTCTTGTTTTATGAAAATCTCTTAGTAATATTAAAACATATCAGTTAAAAATTGTGTCAGCTGTAATTTTTTCTTAGTACAAATAACGTTTAAATATTTAAATGTTTTTAACAGTAATACAAAACAATATTTAGTTTGACTAAAAAAATGGTAAAATAAGTTATTGACTTTTGAACTTAAAAATATTAGAGGCACGAATTATAATTTTAAATAACAATATGAAATGATGAAATAACACAACGTGAACTCAATTTTTTTTTTTTTATTCTCTTGCACAATACACTGTCCCCAATTTGATTGAATTGGTCGCTCAAGAAGACTCTTGCTCTGCAATTGAATGCTGCTGATTTTATACTAATGATATTGTATAATATTACAATTTACAAAATTAAGATTATATTTATGACTACAGAAATTTGTTTCAAATAGCATAAATCTAACGAACGGATTGTCTTCCATATGTAAGTAAATCGGTTACTTATCATTGTCACCTACAAATCATATTTAATTCCTTTTAAATGTCCACTCAATCTCACACGGATTAATTCCAATTGGATCGTTATGTCGCGGTGGTAACGACACGCTGAATATTATCGATAGAAAGTCTGCAGTTTGCGGGGACTCTAACGGCATCAGCTAGTATCGGGTAAATGACTTGCATGCCTGTTCAAATAAAAAAAATATTACCGTTCTTATGTTTTTTACTGGTAATATTATCCGAATTACATTCATCGGTAACGAATATATGTTGTGTTGAACCTGAAAAAACCAGAAAACGCCCACTACTTTCACCGCAATACGTTTCGACTCGCACGTAGCTGTCGACATTTATTTAACCTCTACTGTACCCGTTCTTAAGCTCCAGTAGCTAAAGACATTGCTTTAACCTTCCATCCCACGTTGTTTACTTGCGAAGATATTCTAAATAATTAGAATTAATACACCTATAGCTTTTGAGGAACAAGTCTTATAATTAAGAAACCGCCAGTAATATTTATATGTTATAAATATACTACTCAATGAATAATGTTATAAGCACACAGTGACATCGGTGCTTTAACTTTAAATAATTCCGCAAGCAAATTTTAAAATTTATTCCGAACAAAATTTTGCCATCCCTAATATAAATACAATATCGACCAGAAAAAAGTTCGCCCGTTGGTTCGGACTTTAATAGGGACTTTTAATTTTTATGTTTTAGAGCGAAGGTAACAATCGAGTAAGCGACACATGATGGTAAGTTTTAATTACATGACGGACTAATGTGGTATCTTAATGACTGATATACCCATTCTACAAGTTGCCAACGCATCTGCAAGCCCTCATCTTTATATATATATATATATATATATAATTCTTCTGTACGTGTGTTGTAACTCTGAACTCCTAAACGACTGAACCGATTTGAGTGAATTCTGCACTCGGTACGGATGATTATGTCGGTTTTCAGGCTTCAAATATCCCAAATTTGTTATGGCCTCTCGTAAAAGTGATTTTTTTATCCCTTAGAACGAAATTAGCATATTTAAATATTAACAACTTACATATGAAAATGAAATAGATAAGAATAAAATGAAGAACACCTTGTAGGCTTCATTTTAAAGCTCTATCGCAGAATCTAAACTCGAATGTTTAGACATTCTCTATAATATATATATGTAATGTATCCTACGATCTTTGAATGTTCTCTAAATTGTTAGGTACGAGTATTTCATTTACCATGTAGTAACACTATATTTTTATATTTTACTATGGTAGGGCCACACAACAGTCTTCACTGTTGCGCGAATGGGCAGGTCCTGGTCCTGGCATGGTCCGGCTAAGTACCACGTAAAACATTTCTACTTTATTCTGCTTACGTTCATGAATTAAAAAAAAAGATTAAAAAGGTGTCTTAAGACTATGCTTGCGGTTTTATGTAACGGACGTCAAGTTTATTCTTAAAATATAAGATATGCCTTGATAAAAAAACAATTAATTAATATACCTACCTTTAGTGCTTAACTAAACTTTAGTAAAGCACTAAAAGTAGTTAAAGCCGTTAGAGCCATTGCTCACATTTAAGACGTCACGCACTTATCAACATAAGTTATTATTTTTTCAAATATAAATAAAAAAGGTTAACAATTTTTATTTATTTACAAAGTCATGTATAACAAGTACCTTAACTCCATAGGCAGACAAGCTCCAGGGCCGCACAGAAAATTAGCGTGAAGTGGAAGTTATACTTTTACGTTTCGTCTGGTGATTAAGGTAACCGGGCCGCCTCATGTTTTAAAATTTGCTTCATTTTAAATTTTAAATTTTGTTTCATTTTTATTTAATTAGTTTTTTTAATTATGTATTTTTTAACGATTATATTTTTGACGTGTGTTCATTTATTGATGCGGTGGTAACGACACGCTGCATATACGGGGCGATTTTTAAAGGTGCCCAAATTTACACAGGAGGTTCAGATTCGATATAATCGTCTATTGAAATAAAAACAAACTTATTTTTTTTTTAAATTACCATTCTATTCCCTAGAATGGTTTCTAAGAACCTTTTAAGAACCCGGTAGTCAATCATAAATACTTTACTGTAAATTTTACTGTACACGTACGACAACCAAACAAACAACAAACGAACTTATGTGCGTGTTAGTTATGAATGATCGGGCGGAAAATAAATGAATTACGTAAAATAATCACGCATTTTTGAGATAAATTCAAATTAATATAATATATATATATATATATCTTACTTCCTACATTTTCGTTCCTTATAACACTAATTTCAATTACATAGTATTGAAATCATTTTTTTATTTGGATTGAGAATTACATTCCATTCCAGTGGCGAATATACTGGTAAATGTGTTCTGCACACAATCCGAGAGCATAGGTCAGAATTGAATTGTCATCGATATTTTGTATGCATACAAAGAATCTAGCGGAGCGGACGTGTAGCCCAACATTGTTATATGGACTCAATTCCAACGGACTCTCCGAGACTGATTAATTGTTGAAAGTTTTTCAAATGAAAACTTTCGTTCAATTAACACAATTCAATACAGAGTTGTGAAATTGGAATTCCATTGAAGAAAAACATTTCTATTGAAACTACCTACTTCTAGCGTTAAGTCATACCAGAGTCGCGCAGCCTGCACCATAAATGACCTACAAATGATCTCCGAGATCCCAGAGACTTAGAGTGGGAGTCACGTAGAAATTGAAAACGTAAGTAAAAAAGATAAGTAGGTTATGGAAAGTTATGCAAAATATTTATTCTAACCAAATTTGTAGTAATTTTACAAGAGATATATAACTATTATACATCAAAAGAGAGAATTAAGATTTTTATGTCATTTTTGTAAATGATATTTGCTTTTGCTTTTTTTACATACGTCCCTAAAATAAAGCAGAAGAGTCGTGGTACTAGGGTGAGAAGAGAGCTTTTTTTTTAGAGTTTTCTCGTCCTACTGCGATAAACTTACAACTATATTATTCATGGATTTGTAAGTATTTATACGTAGGCAATGTCAAAATTTCTTTTATGATAAAAAAAAATATTTCTTTATTTCCCAAAAGAAATTGTTAATATTACTTCTTAAAACGATTGAGTAGGTATCCATTTAATTTCCGGTCACTTCTGAGAAATGAAACATTTAAATAGTTTCGCAGGATTGTGTGATGAAATATGCTAAACGTTGTGATGCTTTAATGTTTTCCTTGCAGTTATATTTTATCCTCTATACTGGTATGAATCATCTCCAGAATGTCACCGAGATGGAAGAATGTGATGTATATAAACGTATACAATTAAATTTAAAAAGATACAAAAAGAGAAATGACAAACAAAATTATTGAAAAATTATTGCAAGCAAGCACGAGGGCATACGTACTGGTATAAATATGTAATTCAAAATAAGGTCATACAATGAAACGGCACGCATTTAATAATTTCTCGCTGGGGCTTAAACTTTAATATTTACGTCAGTGCACGGCGCTGCGTTATTGATTTTCAGGGCTCAGAAGGGTGGCGAGTGAGAGGCGAGGGAGTTGGTTCAGGAGGCGGGGAGGGTGGCGAGTAGCTGTAGATTTGTGGAAAATCGAGATCTATTCTGTGATATTTGCAGACAGTATTTTATTCGCGTTTATTTACTTAATAAATAATGATTTATCTATTTCACTGCCTTCATAACTGACACTGCAAAAACATTCAGTATGGTTCAAAAAAATTCCGGAATAGAGAGGTATCTAGACTCCATGTACTCGTATTGAGTATTTGATAATTATTTATTACTTTTTTTGGATAATATATACGCTTTCATTCTTAAGGAGAACGCACAAGTAGGTATGAAAGAATGAAATTCTCAAAGATTAAACCCCGTTAGCTCAGTGCGACTCACTGAATCAGCACTGGCTTTATTTTTGTACATTAATCGAAATACAGTTTCGTCATACCATTACAAATTTCATTATCAAATAATTTTAATATTAGGTCATTTATATGCAAAATTAATAAAATAAAACCTTAAAGATAAAGTTATCATTGATGACACAACTGCGTCCGTGTCAAGTATAAAAACCAAATAATTGTCTTGCCTATAACATTTAAGTGCGTGTCTTATGGCATTAAGCAACATTAGAACAAAAAGCAATCGCATGGACAATCTAATAGAGTGTAGAACGGTGTTCTGCAATTTTAACGGAGAGAAATTAACTCGTCTAGCAACGCTGCGGGACAGACGTCCCTCCAAGGTGGGTGCCTGTGTACTGGGGGCTA